TGGTTGATTTACCCCAGGGATGGGCAACTACGGCCCGCGAGCCAACTATGGCCCGTCGGAAGGTTTTATTCGGCCCGCGGATGGAATTTTAACTTATCGATCCAGGGCAAATATAAAAAAATATGCATCTATTTTCTTGTCGACTTTGTTTGAAGCTATTTATGTTCTTTCTTTTTTTAACAAAGTACTGATGACCTTTTTACTTTCTCTATTTTTGTTCTTCAAAACATGAATGGATGGAAATAGCACAAAAAGCTTCAATTGGTAAAATGTTGAAGGGAGAAGTTCTTTATAGAATAGCAGTAGATCGGCTCCAATGTCTTTCTCGAGGAGCAAACTTATGGAATCTAACATAGGTGAATTATGCTTCACATGTGGCATTTTAAGCTCCACCGAGAGGACAGTCTAGCAATCGTGTGATGCAGTTGTTTCTAAATATGCCAATGTTTGAGTTTTGCAAATCATTACCAAAGGCTAGTATCCAAAATCTTAATATTACATGTCCAGAAAATCAGTGCTATGTTTGCTGAATCTTATATATATGTGAAAAAGAGTTTTCAACTAAACATTTTAAACAATCATTTAAACAATCATCATTGAAACATTTTAAACAATCATTTTAGAAGTAGACTAACAGACAAGTATTTAGTCTCGTTCCTTAAAGTAAGCACATCTCACTTCGAACCTCACATAAGGAACTTGTAAAAATGAAATCGAAATTTCATTCATCTCACTAAATATTTAAATTGAAACTTAAATATCGCTTTTTTTTAAAAAAAATTAAATTTTGAAGTTTTTATTTGGCCTACCGAGCAATTTTTTTTCTCAATTTTTGGCCAAAAAAGTTTGTCCGTCCCTGAGCTATGACATCAATTAAAATCCATTCAATGAGTATCCGACGCATTATTAATGATGGCATTAAACAAATGATGTACTGATTGTTAGACGCATTCTATGTTAATTATATTATCAGGTGCTTTTACGCAACCGGTTTACACTTGCTCCTGTATCAATGGGGTTAACATTGTCATGCAATACGTTTAAAAATAAATACAAATAGGAAATATACGAAAAATCTCCCGAATAAAGAACCCATTACATGTGTGTTTAAATATAAAAGTATTGCATATAAACTCGTGCAAAACATGCAATTATTAAAACACCACAGTGCGCCTAATAGTATGTTCTAATTATTAGCAATATACTAATATAATACCTGATATAATAAATATTCCATACGTATATAATATATCGTGATGGCTCAAGGGATAGAGCGCTCGCCTTTCAATGAGGTAAACCGGGGTTCGATCCCGGCGATGGTTGGTCGATACGAATTCCGCATCCGGCTTGCACCGACCACAGTGCTGATGGGAAATATCCTCAGTGTTGTAGTCGGATCATGGGTTAGAGTCCCCTTGCCGTTAGGCTAAGCGTGGGAGGTTCTCGTGATCTTCCTCTCCATGTAACGCAAATGCGGGTTAGTTCAATCGAAAAGTCCTCCACGAAAGTTAAATTCTCCCAATACTTGATCCAGGAGTTCCCTTGTCTTCTGGATTGGTTTCAAAACGACAAGGCTACGGAGTTGAATATTAGTAGTCGTAAACCCAAGAAATTGGGTCGACTGTTCAACGACGGTTATATTATAAAATAAAATAAAAAAACTTCCATTCCATCGATGCAACATCATTCTAATGTCCCCTACAGTATTATTCTAAAATTTAGGTGACTTTTTTTTCTTCCGAAATATACAATACATTTTTAATTTTACTTTCATAGTTTGATTTTGCTTTTGAAGTGTGATATTCTACGAATCGGCATTATTGTTTTTATGACTCCCATTCTTTATACAAGCGTTTTATGACTATCTGAGCGCAGAAGATATTTGCCAAAATTTTACATTTTGGGGTACAATGAATTCTTACATAAAGAGTAAAAAGCACATGCACTATTGACACTATCTATTTGGATCCCTCTGTTACATGCACGTTTAAAAAAAATTATTTTAATAGGTGTAATGTTTATACAGTCCCTGATCAAATTATTAGACGCACTATAAGATTCTATTTAAAATCTTAATTATCAGGTGACACTATACAGCTTTAATGTCTTAACTCGACTGAAACAGGTTTGTACTTGTTTACGTTAGTGTATGAATTGGTAAAATCAGACGATATATAATATAAGCAGAAGGTTGACTTCCCACCCGGAGCAGAGGAAGAAAAAAAAAACTTCTGGTATTTTAGAATTTATCGGGATTTTTACGAACAAAATTATTCTAGTACAGATAGCATTTTAGAATGGCAGCACCTTATTATAATACGTAGTGTCGGTTTTCAGATTTCAAAAAAATATATTGATATGTATAAAATATATATTTTTCTCCTTAAATTGATTCAAAATAATTTTTCAGCTTCCGGAAAGTTCGAACCGATTTTTGAAAGGCGAAACTCCCAAAGGTCCGCCAAAAATATTTACAGCCCTTGGTCAAATTATTAGACGCACTGTAAGATTCTATGTAAAATCTTAATTATCAGGTGATACTATGCAACTTTATTGTCTTAACTCGACTGAAACTGGTTTGTACTTGTTTACGTTCGTTTATTAATGGGTGAAATGAGACGATATATAATATAATTTTGACAATATCTCTATTCTCTTACACGGCGACAAAAAAAGGCCTCATCACAACTCCCCGAGTGGCAACGCTAGAAAATCGACCCATGATTGCCGCTAAAAATGTCACATGCCAAAACTAGATGAGGTCAACATATAGCGCTTTTAAAAACGGAAACGGAAATAACCAGAGAGAGCATTCTCACCAAATGTGATCTCTTCCGAAATTCACCCTATCAGCTGCGGCAATTCTCATACTATTAAGCTAGGCAGAAGTGAGTAGTCTTTGTCGATAGATCTCTATTTTAGTATTTTGTCGAAAGCGCTTTTTCTTACGAATTTATTTCTTTTATTTATTCATTGAAAAATGAGTCTCAGTCGTGCTGCTACGCTTTAAGATTTTATACTATAGCACATTTCTAATAGGTTTAACGAATTACATGTCATTTATTTGAATTCAAATTTATTTTAATGACTTAGTATTTACTAAAAAGATGTAATTTTTCTTTTAAAAAAAAGTTTTTATACGGATTTGAATGATTGTTTTGAATTCTTAGGATTTTGTGCATTTGCAATGTACCTAAGTTAGTAGCGAGCGAAGCAAACCATATAAGATTGCATAGCAATTTTCGGGGATTGGGGAGCAGGGGGCGCAACCCACTAGTCTAATATAATTTTGACAGAGGATATATCATATAAAAGTAGAATATTTTTTATTTCAAGCATCATATTAGTATATTATAATAATTATTTCGAATTATTAGACACACTGTAGTATTTTAATAATTGCATGTTCTGCACGAGTTTATAGGCAATACTCTTATATTTAAACATACTTGTGATGGAGTTTTATAGAGGAGATTTTTTTTTTATATGCTTCCCATTTGCATTTATTTTTAACGTATTGTATGACAATGTTAATCCATTGGTACACGAACGTAAACAAGTGCAAAAGCCGGTTTCAGCCGCTTAAAAACACTGTCGAGCAGAAAGGAGTACTGGAACAATTTAGCGGGGGTACGCGTTCTTATGCGAAATATCTAGCAACAAGCGAATATTTAAAAACAAAACTAGACATAAATATTTACGATGACTTATTTTTCTATTGTCTACTTTTTGCAAAGTTAACAGTTAATAAAGAGTGGTGTCAACAGCCAGTTCTGATTTTCAACTTTTGTGCAATTTTTTCATATTAAAAAAATACATTCATTCTTTTTATGAGTGGTACACAGCGTTACGAACAATTTAGAAAAGGGTACACAAAAGTCATAAGTTTGGGAAACACTGCTATAGAGTATCTCTTGATAATTGAAGATTTTACGTAGAATCTTTCAGTGCGTCTCATCATTTGGCCAGAGACTGTCATGCAATTAACATTAGATTGCCTTAAGGAAGTCATTTTGATTGCTTTTAATTTCAATTGGAAAAACATTGATGCATATAATGACACAATTTCTTAGAATTTTGTACAACATATAATATTTTTTTATTGTTAATATTAACTAATAACTTGTTATCTAACTATAAAGAATGTAAAAAAGTATTAAAAACTAATTTTATACAAATTTCTTTACGCATTATTTATTTTTTTTACAATTCAGTCATTCTGACTGCTTTTGGGCAATATAGGCATATAATAAGTTTCAGTCTTTCTAAGTGTTAAATGCTTTTGTTTTGAGATGCCTGTTTTAAAGAATATCTTCTGAAGGATTGAAATTGTTTGGAAGATTCTTTGTTTTAAGGAATATCTTCTGAAAGATTGAAATCGTTTGGAAGATTCTTTGTCTTAAAGAATATCTTCTGAAAGATTGAAATTGTTTGGCTGATTCTTTGTCTTAAAGAATATCTTCTGAAAGATTGAAATTGTTTGGAAGATTCTTTGTCTTAAAGAATATCTTCTGAAAGATTGAAATCGTTTGGAAGATTCTTTAAAAAAAATAAAAAATAAAATATCTTTTGATGAAGATAAAAAAAAGGAAGTCTTATCGTAGGAAAAGAGTATCTTTTGCTGCCTGTCACTTTCACTTTAACAGAATATTATTAACACTTAGGTTAGCGCGCTCAAAATAAAATCATCACCCTCTCCCCCCTTTTACTCATAAATATGACTAAGAGACGACGTTCATTTGCCGCATTGGGGGAGGGGGGAATCCGAGGTTATTTTTAATAACATAATTATGAGAAGGCATCTGAAGAAGTGGACGGAAAAGACCGTCACATACGGATGTTTAGAATATACAGTTTACAAATGGAGTAAACATTCTAACTGCGGATGATATTTGTTTATGTTTACAGTAGCAACATGTTTAACATTAAGAGCCCCTCTTTTCATTATTTACGTGCGGTCATGTGATGGCTCGGCGTTTTAGGTTTTCGAAATAGTTGTGTAGGGGGGTAAGGGGGTCAGGAGAGGGGTGATTTCATTCATGCAGAATATTTATATGAAAATTTGTTTGTACAAAAGTTAGTTGGAGTCGAAGAGTTTCCAGAGTCAGTTCTCACTTTAAAATTCATTTCTTTCGATGGTTGTTCGCGTTTTCCTTAAATGACTACGCATTTTGGATTATAATTATTTAGCATTTTTTTCGGTAAGTCATTCATAACTTTTTTTGAATTTATCTAGATTCGTGTAGTATGGATTGCCATTATGAACCCAAGTCGAATATCTTTGATTGTCAAAAGTGACATCAAATGACCCAAAAGAGTTTCAACCTGCACAGTTGCATCCAAGGTTTCGTGGCCAAAATTAGTAATTCGATAAAATTTGTATTCAGGGGTTTTTATGTGCAGGTAAATTGAATTAATTCATAGTTGAAATTTTGAAATACATTAAAAATACCCCCAAAAAACAAACAAAATGGCGGCAGAAATAGGGCGAGCAAAAATAAAAAAAATTAATATAGTACGTTTAAATAATTAAATATAGCAATGAAAATATAACAATTTTCGTAATTTTGTATTAAAAATGAAAAGCAAATTATATTTCAGAAGTAATATTACAAAATAACGAGAAAACATGAAAAACAGCATAATTTTTGTTTTTCGGTATGTTTAGTCCACCTTTGCAATACGGGCAAAATGTGGCAGGTTTCTTTCGAAAGAAAAAACATCAAAGAAGACAACAAAAAAAAGTTTAGCTAATGACCTCGTGGAACTTTTTGGAACTTAGTTTCGAAAGTCATTCAAACATTGTAAAATGTCAAATGATGAGATATGAACTATAAGTTTGTCAAGAGTATTCACTAATCCAACACATTGAAAAATTGTACTATCATTTCAGACTCATTACTCTGATAAAAATGTAAACAGTAAGGTGAAATTCCTATATATATTTCTGAAATAAAAATTTAAAAGTTACATTTAAAAAAAAAAATTTTAACATATTTTTCATGACATTGTACTCTTGTCGGTCCAAAAAGTAAATTATAATGTTTGGAATTATTATGAATACTTAATTTGGGGAACATTAAAACTGCCTATTTTAGTTGAAAATTTAATTTTTGACTTTTGGTCAAAGATCATGGTCTTCTGGCCCACAGTGACCTGGAATGAAATGCCGAGGAGAAAAGAACCAATTGCAATTTTATCTATTCATCTTATTTCGCGTAGAATTAAATGAAAAGTTTGAGCACGTCCCCCTTAAAACACCAGAAAGGCTAACGTTCTGAAATTTAAACAGTGCGTAACAAGAAGCAGTTTCATCCCCCCGATTCTAAAATTCGTTCAAAAATTTAAATTAGATTGTTCGGGAAAGACATTTAAAAAAATGGAATTTTCTCATTGGCTTAGAGCAAGCGCCATTGGTGTAAATGGAACTGCAGACGATTTTAAATATAGCGTCAGTGATGTTCGCTCTCCTTTAAATTAAAAAAAAAAAAAATGCCGTTCTTAGATATTTTGTTATTTTTTATTCGATATGTCACGTAAACCGCTTGAATCATTTTGGTTAAAGGTTCTCACTGAAATAAGAAAGTAAACTATTAGTACTAAAGAGAAAAATTAATTTATAAATGGCTCTAACAGATTTAGAAGTAGCATAGTCAATCGCCATACTATTATGGATGCTTAATTAATTTGGTAATAGATACTATGAGTTTATTCTTATCTCGTCCCGCCCTATTTTAGGGCATACGAGAGTTGATACATACACAAATCATACATTAAAAATACGTAAATCTCTAAAAGTTACATCAACAGTGAATATAAAAATCAGAATATCTAAAATAATGTTCAATACAATTCTATAAAACAAGTTTAAACCAATTAAAATAATAAAGTAGTAAAAAGATTAAAAAAAACAAAATCACCCAAAAACCAATAAATGCTAAAACTTTACAGGAGCATGCAAAACAGTGATAAAATATAGAAGTTAAAATTCGATAAAAAGGTTAAAAGGCAGAACAAGTTAAGAATCAAAACAATCAGTTAAAAGTTGATAAAAACAATACTTGTTAAATTAAAAATTTATAAAAACAATGCTTGTTAAATTAAAAATTTATAAAAACAATACAAGTTAAAACGTAGAGAAGTTTAAAATGAATGGTAATAGATACTATAACTGAATTTGGTAATAGATAGTAACTGAATTTGCTAATAGATACTATAACTGAATTTGGTAATAGATACTATAACTGAATTAACTATGCACTACAAATCATAATGAATGGAGAAATAGTTCTAATTCGCATGGTAGAAAAACAAACACGCAAATGATCATCCATTTATTTTGGTAAAAGGTATTGTAGCTGAAACAAAATAAACTATATTAAATAACAAAATTAATGGAGAAATGACACTCATTCGGTAAGAAGAAAAGCAATACTATTTTTAACGTCAATGATGCTTAGTTAAGTTTGTTAATAGTTACTAATTTTATTTTATAATCAACGTTGAACAGCCGACCCATTCTACCCGTGTTTAACTCCACAGCTTGTCATTTTAACCCTTTATCTACTGAAAGTACTTAGAAGTACCAATCACTTTAAACTAATTAATTAAAGTGGTAATTAATTACAGTGGTACTTTTGAGCTCCACTTTAATTAATTAGTACTAACAAATTAAATTTCGCACCGGGGAGATTTTTTTTCTTGTATACTCTTTAATTATCAATATAGCAGCTAAAAAAACTATATATTTGTGAAAAAAATTTCAGTAGTACATAATGCAGTAGATAAAGGGTTAAATCCACAAGGAAGCTCTTGGATCAAGCTCTGACTTGGATCAAAAAACCTTTCGTGGAGGATTGTTTTATTGTACTCACTTGCATTTGCGTTACAAGGATAGGAAAACCACGAAAACCTTCCTCAGCTAGCTCAACGGGAAGGGGATTCTAACTCATTATCCGTCTGCCACTGAGGATATTTTACGTCAGCGCTGTGGTCGATGCGAGCTGGGAGTGGAATTTGCATCAACCAGCCACTGTTGGGATTTGAACCTGGTATACATCATTGGGCGATGAATGCTCTATCCCTTGAGCCACCAAGGTCTAGTTTTTACTAATATTTTTCATTTTTTATACTCTTTTTTAAATAACCAGCGATGAGCAGCAGACCCAATTTCGAGTTTATGACTCCGTAGCCTTGTAATCATGAATTCAATTCAGAAGACAAGGGAACTCTTGGATCAAGTATTGGGAAACTTTCGTGGGAGACTTTCGAATGGAACTAACTTGCATTTGTGTTACATGGAGAAGAAAACTTATCACGGTTAGTCTGATGGCCAGGGGACTCTAACCCATGATCCGTCTACTACTGAAGATGTCAGCACTGGGGTCGGTGCTATGCAACTTGCCATTTATTAAATATTTAGTAGTTTTTAAATGGCATAACGATTGCTTATGCCATTGATGCATGGCTTTTAAGTACACTCAGGAGTTGGAAAGTGATCAAAATTTTGATTATTTCCTTTTGATGATTATGTAACCTTTCCTTCAGTAATAAAACAAACAGAGAATTGTCCGGCATTAAAGATATGATTGCACTATTTGAATTGTCGAAGTTTTGTCAGCAAATTTTCTTCATCGCGGGATAAATAGTTTAAAATAACAATCCTATTTTAATCTATGAAGATTTCTTAATCAAAAAAGTATGTAAAAAAAAAATAATTGTTTTAAAATTAGGAATGGAATGAAATGTATGTGGAAAATGGGAATGAAATGTAACAGCCCATTTATTTTACCCATCCCCGAGGACGGCTTGTCCAACAATGTACCCGTCCTCCTTTGAAACTAACCCGTAGCTTCTAAATAAATAAAAATATAATTTTCTCTTATTTATAACAAACATGTATATAGATAGCACAATGAATTAGTAGTTACTAGGATCACATTATACAGTAATAAAAGAAATACTAGGTTACTAATAGTAACCTAGTATTTCTTTTATGAAATAATTTATTTCTTTTATGAAATAATTTCAATGACAAAGGTCAATTTATCTGGAATGTCAATTTATCCGAGGGTACTGCGTTTTTTAAATGAATCAAATATGACGTTTGCCTGTTCCACAATCAAGCCAATGATTCACAGAGGTTTCTGCATAGAAATCTGAATAGGATTTTCCATTTAGGTAGATGTTCTTAATTGCGTTTAACGCTTCTTGTTTAAGACCAGTATGTAATGCGTTTTTTTGTAAGTTCATTGCTCAAAAGCCCCTTTCAACCGCTGAAGTACAGAGAAAACATCAATTCCACCATGCGCAGTTTGTTGCTGTATTTCTAGATTAGAGGATCATTTTAGAAGTGAGGCGCTTGTAAGATAACAAAAATTGAAAATGTATCACGAACATTAAAGGGAAAATGGCCGTCCGCGCGGACGTCGGATTCGAGAAATTCGTTGTTCGCGGGGAATTTTTGACCGCCGAGGACTGGAGCCCTGTTTAGGACAGGAGGAGATATTTTAAAAAACATTAAAATCAATCAAATATACTTTTGTAAAAAAAAAAACTATAATTAATGAAAGAGAAAGCTTAGTTAGGTATTGAGCAAGTAATTTATAATTTGAATAAAGAATTTGTGTGTATGTGTTTGTGTATACCTGTTTGCGGGTAAGCGGTTGATTCCAAGAATATGAAATTCAACGCGTAGCTGAATGTGATCACAACTGCAAACTGGAAAGTCATGAATTTTGGTATTGAACAAAATTTGTCATGAAATATCATGACTTTAACTATTTTTTTAAAAAAATCATGAAAAGTCATGGATTTAGGTCGCCGGAAAATCTAATTTTTAAAATGGAATTTACCCCCCTCCCCCCAATTTCATGATGTTCCGAATATCTGAATTGGTAACCCCTCCCACAGTCATATTTGATTAAAATATAAAATGTTTTTTATCGTGTTCTTTAAAAATTATGGTGTACTTTCAAAAAATGAGAAGAAAAAAACATCTTTTCTAGAGCTTTCTTCATTTTTTAAACTCCTGCGATTTCAGAATTTTTGTTATTATTTCTTGTTTTAATTTTATCAATTTAAAATTTTAGCTGAAAGCAAGCCAGTCATTGGCGAATTTTTCTTATTCCGAAATGAGAACAGAAAAATCAGGAGTATTTCTTTCCTTTCTGATGAACAAGAAAAGTATATTTAGAATATA